CAAAGGATAATATCTAAATTCATTCTATTGAGTAAATCTGTTTCTAACATATATATGAAATACATAAAAAAAAACATCAGCATACCAATATTTTCCTTTCCTTAAATCTAAAAAAAACTGACAACTAATGGGACTAGAGTAATGGTGATCTATCACAACACTGCCAGAAATAACAATACAAAATCATTTGAGAACCACTGCTCAATAGGCACTGACAGTACCTCACTATTCATTGCTTACTGAATTCTGAGGTAGTTGTATACATTTTCTTTCAGTGAAAATTTGTTTCCACTTTGTAATTCATATCAAATGAGACCTTATTGGAGGTAAAGCTATCCACAGATGAAATCTGACTGAAAAATTAAGTCAGACAAAAGTTCATCTTTAGTACAATAAACAAAAATAAGTTTTATTTCTTTACATCAATATACCTATTATTTGCCAACTCATACATTTCATGGGAAAATGTAGCAGGAGGTAATCATCTTTGTCTCAGTTAAATAAATATAATGTATACAGATCTAAAAGGACTTTCTCCCATGCACATAATAATTCATCATATCTTCTCTAGGCAAAAGAAAAAAAATTACTCATTAAATCACACTCACTATACTACACAATCTAACTGATTCTGACATCTTTTGGACATGGATTTATGCTACAGTCCTTGCCTTCCATCATAATTTAAAGCATTTTCCTGCTTATTGATAAAACATCTAACAGAGAGAACAGATTAGGCAAAAGCATGTTTTGTGAGATAAATATTACCCAAACCTCTAAAGCTTATCATAGGTCTCATAGGGATCTAAACAGCTTATATTTCTTCAGTGAAAAACAGTGTCACCTGTTAGATGAATTTTCAATAATCAGTAATAATCTGTTTAAATTACAATACTCCTAAAACTGATCATCCTCACCAGGATTTTGTTGTTTTAACTCTTCAGTTAGGCCAATTTTCTCAACTGGGCCAGTCTCCTCAACTTGGCTAATTTTCTCAACTGGGCTGGTTTCCTCAACTGGGCCTGTTTCCTTAACTGGGAATATTTTCTCAAATGGGCTGGCTTCCTCGACTGGGCTGATTTCCTTAACTGGGCTTGTTTCCACAACGAGGCCAACTGGGAATATTTTCTCAAATGGGCTGGTTTCCTCAAGTGGGCCGAATTTCTCAACTGGTTCAGTTTCCTCAACTGGTTCAATTTCTTCAACTGGTCCAGTTTCCTCAGCTGGGAATATTTTCTCTAATGGGCTGGTTTCCTCAACTGAGCCAGTTTCCTCAACTGGACCTGTTTCCACAACTAGGCCAGTTTCCTCACCTGGCTCGGTGTTCTCAACTGGGCTGAATTTCTCAAATGGGATAATTTCTTTAACTGAGCTGGTTCCCACAACTAAGCTGGAGTCTTCAACTGGACCAGTGTCCTCAACTGGGTCAGTTTCCACTATTGGACTAATTTTCTCAAATGGACTGATTTCTTGAACTGGGCAAATGTCCTCAACTGGACCAGTTTCTTCAATTGGGCTGGTCTCCTCAACCAGGCCTTTTTCCTTAACTGTGTAGATTTCCTCACCTGGCCCGGTGTTCTCAATTGGGCTGAATTTCTCAAATGGGCTGATTTCCTGAACTAGGCCAATGTCCTCAATTAGACTGGTTTCTTCAATTGGGCCGGTCTCCTCAACCAGGCTTTTTTCCTCAGCTGAGTAGATTTCCTCAACTGGGCCAGCGTCCTCAACTGGACCGGTTTCTTCAATTGGGCTGGTCTCTTCAACTGGGCCGATTTCCTCAACTGGGTAGGTTTCCACCACTGGATTAATTTTCGCAAATGGGCTGATTTCCTGACCTAGGCCAATGTCCTCAACTGGACCGATTTCTTCAATCAGGCCGGTCTCTTCAACTGGGCCGATTTCCTCAACTGGGTAGATTTCCTCAGTTGGACCAGTATCCTCAAATGGGCAAATTTTCTCAACAGGGCTGATTTCCTCAACTAGGCTGGTTTCCACAACTGGACCACTTTCTTCAACTGGTCCGGTTCCCTCAACTGGGCCAGTTTCCTCATTCAATATTTTTTCAGTTTGTGCTTCTAATTCCTGGAAATAACCATTAAAGGTAAAAGCTAGAGATAGATTGATAGACAGATAGATAGACAAATGGATAGATAGATATATAGATAGCCAGATAGACAAACAGATAGGTAGTTAGAGAGACAGAAAAATGGAGAGACTGATAGATTGATAGATAGATTGATAGATAGATAGATCAGTAGATTAGATATAGATAGATAGATAGATAGATAGATAGATAGATAGATAGATAGATAGATAGATAGATAGATAGATAGATAGATAGATAGATAGAGCAGAAAAGACAGACAGACAGACAGACAGACAGACAGACAGACAGACAGACAAGACAGACAGAAAGACAGACAGACAGACAGAGACAGACAGACAGAAGACAGACAGACAGACAGACAGACAGACAGACAGACAGACAGACAGACAGAAA